TGGTAGATATTTAAGGAGAACACTGTCAAGACAGAGTAATTCAATTGCTTTCTAGCCTAATTTGTTGTATTTAATTAGAAATTTAAAAAAAAGCAAGTATGCTTATATGACTGTTAAATTACTGTTGACTTTTTTCATTGACATTCCATAAATGGCAAAGTTAAGGTTAACAGTATAAATAGGGGTGCTGAGTATTATAAAAGGGGAACCCATGCAATTAAAAAAAATGGCTTACATAACCTGATATCATAATAGACAGAATATTTATTTAACTCGCAGTAAATTGACACACCTCTAGACGGAGACAATTATGACTGACTGTAAAACATCTGACAGAAGCAATTATGACTGACTGTTGTTTGCTACCTTTGCACAGAAATAAATGAAACGCAGATATTTGGAACAGAGACTGCTGCCTGTGTGTCTAAGCTTGCTGTAATTAAAATACAATAAGCAGTAGGCGAAGTAAAAATTTCAGTACCTATTTTAGTATGTTCTTTAACTCTTTAAATAAAAGTGTTTGAGAGACATGATGCTGTACTTAAATGATACTCCGAAGCTCTTTTTGTTCGTTCCCAGATAAACCAACAATTTGGCGCTGTGCTCGCAGACACCTACATTGTTTCTCACATGCTCGGTGCAGATATACGCACACAAATACAAAGGAACGTGAATATATTTTTACTTCTCACGCTGGAGAGCAGGCTATCAACAGAATAATCAGGGGGAGAGAGTTTAATAATATGACACAGTTCAGTTGTCCAATCAGTAGAAGAAACAAACAAAAAAAAACCCAGAAGACTTTCACTGAGCCGCATCTTAGTGAATCCAAGAACAAAAGTTCTTGATCTTCACCCTCAGGTTGTTCTGTGTCATTTTAATGGGAACGAAGAGAAACTGCAGAAAAAGGGAAAATACATGAGCAGTATAGATAACCTCCAGATATTTCCGTCCTTACTTCCCCCACCAGTGCAACAGTATGGGGTAAATGGATTTCAGGTACCTTTTCAAAAATTAAATTTTCCAATAACATAAAAATACGCCCTGAAAGCTAAATAGGAACTTGGATGTGGTGGTGCATTTGACAGGGATATTTAGAAGTTGAGACTATGTTTTGTGAAAGGAAGAGGGGGGCAGTTGTGTCGGGGGGGGGGGGGTACTGCGTGTTTGGTGATGAGATTTGATTCTAAAATGTTTGCTAGAGTTAGTTAGGTTATTAACTTCAAGGAATATAGTACCTGGATTTAATTATATATTGTCAGAATCATGTTTGCCTTTTTTTTTTTTTTTTAAGTTCGTATTCAAAATAAATTTATTTTAATGTGCGTATTTCTTTTGGTAATACCTTTTGTATGCTCCGTGCGTGTTTGCACATATAGCGGTATCTGTATATACAGGGAGCAGTATTGGTTGTTGCAAATGATTGCTTGCCACTGACCTCGGATATTATTAAAACAATGATACGGTGATAATAGGTATAGACCTATTTTCAGGACGTGACTGACTCCTGGAAAGCAATTTCAGTCGGCCTGTGTAGCTGCGTTGTCAAAAGGCCTTAGGTGCTTTATCGATTAAATTCTCATTTGGGAAGAAAGTAGGAGCTTTTGTATGCATCCCTAAGTTGGACGGTATGGTAACTAGGAGGTATTGACTGGCCGTGTGATATACGACGGTCACAGTTGTCTTTTACGAAGAGGCGCGCAGAGTGATGCCGGTTGTCATTCTTGCTCTGCTGTGTGGCAGCGTAAATAGTCCCCTTTCTAACCAACCTGGTGGGAAAAGTCAATATCCCATCAGCAGAGGAGGTAAACACATCAGGAGCTGTGTCCTCTCTCATCTTCCCCTGCTCCGCGTTACTGCAGGTCTTTAAATCCGCTCTCCCCCGTCGTCAGACGCACTCGTGCCATTCAGCCGCGTGGTGCTGCTGGGCTGCGGCGAGAGCGGCTGCCCGCGCGGAGCCGCGCGCCGCTCGCCTGCCCTTGTTCCCCCGCTGAAACTTCAGCTTGGCCTCATTACCGCCGCGAGGCTCCTCGTATTCCCCCCCCTCCTTTTTTTTCCAAGCCCAGCCTTTCCTTTCACAAGAAGGACTGCGTCCAAGAAGTGTTTGAAGCGTATCGTTAGAAGGGTTATCGTGTGCGATTGGAGTTTGGATTTAATTTGGGGGGGGGGGCTAGAAATTCTGTTAGGAGGATGACTGATGCTTTCGAGCTGCACGCAGGCTTGCGTTTTTGTTCTCTACTTTCAGCGCTGTGTTATTGTTTGCCTAGTTGTTCTCGTGATGAATGTGTCTTCCTCCTCCTTTTCTTATGTGCCAGCTGTTTCTGCACAGTGATACATTTCACCTTGGTCCCCCCAGAGCTCCAGGAAGCTTTAAACTATTTCAGCCTAGTTTTGAACTACGAGTATGATACGTTTTGCAGTTTATTGGTGTACGCAGCACAGTTTTGCTAGCATGGGAGCAGTGGCAAATGATCCAGTTTAGTGGACTGCACGTTTTGAAAATGCACAAACTGGTTAGTGCTGAATTTGTAGCAAAGAGGGTTTGGTGGTTTTATGGATCTGGTTATTACAGTTTTCTTGGGTTGTTTAATTAAACCTTACATTTAAATAATTTCAGGATCATTAAAAGTGTTTATACCAGAGTGACTTCAATCTGTTAATGAACAGATTCTTGTAATCGAGGTTTTTATTGTATTTGGGGTGTAGTTTAAGGAATTTTTAATCCCACTAATAAATTAATTCCATTACTGTCTAAATAATGGTAAGAATGTAGTATATTCAGCTAGACATCTTATTTTGTTTACGTACTGCCCAAAATTGTAAATACAAGTACTTAAAACTGAACGATAGCACTATTTATGCCCTCCTCACTAGGATGTATGAAAAGTACTTTCCAAAGGGCTTTTCACCAAGGTATTCAGTTGCTTAAACTGTCATCTTTAATTTAAATTTTAATTTAATTTTTAAAGATTTTGTAGTGTCATATAGGGAGATTGAGTTCAGTGAAACTTTGTCAATAATATGGAAAATCTAAGCAGGTAATAATTCCTCAGTAAAACATTAAGGTTTGTATTGAATGCAGCAGTTAATCTTATCTGAGTTTGTCTTGAAACATCTGAGGCTCTGCAAAAATGTTCATAAATCCTTGGGGAGGAGGAAGTCACAAAGCCAAAATTATAATAATTATATCCGTTATTGTGCTCCCCCCATCTCCTCTTATAGCAGTCCTTCACTTGGTGGCTGAAATAAAGATTAGTCCAATGGGACATCTTTGTCTCAGTCACATCACAAAAGCAGATCAGGCTGGTTTCTTCCCTTACAGAGGTGGACTCAAAAAATCGGGGTCCCTCTCCACCAAAACCTGGGGCACCCCTCTTCTCTGGAATAAACTTTACTGTTCTAAAGATGATCATTTTTTTCATCCTAACTCGTGTTACATAGTAAAAGCTGTCTGAAGGGCGATGGGGGCTTCTTTGCAATGTTTTCAAAGCAGAGGAGGGCAGTTACAATAGTGCTAAGACAGGAGGAAGAAATGAGACAACAGGTTTTAGGTCGTCTGATGCCCAGCAGAAGAGTTGTGTTGGCCGCTTGTAAGGCGCTTCCTTATGCTATGCTTGAGTGGCTCGAGATCTCACGAGATGGAAGTCCTTGTGCCGGGCTCTCGTACCTCTGCTTGACCTGGAGCTCCTCCAGGCCCCCTAGGAGGGGAATGCCTTCCCGCAGGGAGTCTCACTTTGGGGTACATCCTTCCTGTATGCTCAATAATCCAGAACATCCCATGCAGCAAATTTCAAGGTGTAACTGCAGGCCTAGGCTTTTGGGTAGGGTTTGGTAATTCTAGAACATAAAGTTGTTTTGAAAGGAGGAACGCTGTTGGACTAGGTCTGGGTCAAGTTAGCATTGATTTACAGCAAGAGAATATTTTGCCCTTTTAATTTTAGCAGATACCCAGGGCCTTCGTAAAGCAAGAACCAGGCAGCAACTGAAACAAAATCCCTGGATTTTTTGTTGAGGTGGTAGGAAGTTGAATTAAATATAAATAAATAAAATGGAGCATTTTTGGCTTTACTGCTACAATAGTTGCAAACTTACATGTGTGCATGTGTGTTTATACAGATAGAGGCATAGAGGTAAGTGTGTCTGGCACTCTAGATATCTCTTCACAGATACATTGATCAAACATTTGGGAATGGCTGTCTTCATTCATATGTCAGGTGAACCTGATGTCTCCTGGTTGGGATGACTTTTAGGTATCTTCTCTCCACTTTAGGGTAAGGTAGCGTGGAGTTTCCCCTGTGTGACCACCTTGTACTGCTGTCCTTTTCCTTCCATCATCTCCTTAAAGTTTAGCATTACGATGCCCATCCTGCATTTGAGAAAGCGTGACATTGGTGGTGAGCCTGGCCCAGGCTGTGCCAGCGCCCATGTTAGCAGTAGGGATTAGAGAGTCAAATCATGGTTTCCTTGAAATATGAATCTGAAATTTGCTGTCGGCAGAATTTCAAACCCCTATCTCAAACCCCTAGGGATGCTCCATAGACTCTGCATAGTTTATACTAAATTAAGGAACCTGCTTATGTTAGATTAGGTCCTTTCAAAAATCTGTCCTTTTACTGCTTATTCTCTCTCTCGTAACTTAGTGAACCGCCATTTCGCTCCACTTTGGGCATGCAGCGTATCTTGCCAGCTGCTGACTGGAGTTAGTGCGCCAGCTCAGGTGGGGCTGGCTGAGACCAGGGGAGCTGCCATCAGCCTCGGTGTGGGGTACGGGTTTGGCATCACCCTAACTGTGCTGCTACAACGTTACTGGTAAAGGTAGGCGGGAGCAAGCAACACCTAGGGCAAGGCTGAAGAGCTTGCCCTAAGTGTTGTCTGGAAATACTAGCTACAATATTCGCCTCATTTCAAAATACCGTGATTCACAACAATAGCGACTGCAATAGTATTTTCGTTTTGTGGTCTTTAACTTCTCTGATTTTTCTTTTCCTTCATTCTTTTAGAGTACGTGAAGAAGCCATTCAGAAAGGAAATATCTGAGGCCTACAGAAGACTGAAGAGCACAGTAGACAAATGGCTGTCCATGAGCAGCTACTCAGAAGTTAACCTCGGCAAACTCTTTGAGACCATCAGTATAGGAAGATCTATGGGAGAATCCAATAATGAAAGGCAGTGATTCATTAAAAATGGAGGGAGAAGAGAGGCTAGCTTGTTGTTTAAAAACAATAATCTCTTAGGCAGTACTCTGTTTCAGTATGCACAATAATATTTTAATAATCTTGTTTCTTTGGTGGTGGAAAAACAGAAGATAAAAACAGGATATATGATTCACGTGGACATGAAATACTCAAGGTGTTTTTATCTTCACTTCTCTTCTCCATTGAGAAGTCAGGGTTATTAAAATACAGAGTAGTTGATTTTTGCAATATATTTTGTTGTATATTTAGACCTATGAGGGAAAAGGGGGTGGGGGAATTGCTGCTTTAATTGGATAATTCCCAGTGAGAGTTGCTGGAATGTAAGTGATCCTAGACTTTGCTCCAGGGTATTTAGTAGAGGTGCTCTCAGGAAGAGAGGTTAGTAGAGGTCTCAGTAGGAGCACTAATGTTTTGCCTTTTCACAGTTTATCTTCTTCCTGATCATAAACATACCAATTAAAAACAATACTAAACCTAAATGCCTTTAAATGTCCTAATACCTTCTGAACAGAGGTAGGGATGTTTTACTTTCAAATTTATTGAAGGTAAAGAACGACTGTAACCTGGAGTTACAAAAATAGGGAACCATCTTTTTCATTAAGAGTCTTTCAGCATCTTTAAGTATAATGTTTCAGCATGTTTAAGCATATGCAAAAACATAAAGCAATTGGAGATTTCATATGTGTATGTAGACATGCACATGTGCCAAATGTGTTCAGTAGCTACACGGGATATAAATGTATTTGATTTCTTCCCATACAAAATATTTGAAAGTAAGCAATCAATAGAGGAAAAATCTCTTTTTGATGGGGAAGGGGAAAAAGGAGAATCATTGTTGCCGTTCTGTATTACTATCTTGGAAGTTTTAAAGGTTTTATAAATAAACTGTATTTTCCATTTACTTTTAGTAAAATAACAAACAGATCTGACAATAAATGGTCATAAATATGGTTGCAGCTTTTGTACTGGAATGAAAATATTGTACTCATTACATTTACTGTTAAGTTTGTGATGTGATATATTGATGTAAGGTTATAAAAATGCTCTTCAAAATCTTTAACAGTATGAAATGTAAAATTTTCATAACACTTGAAGGAAAAAATAAAGTTTTCTACTAAAAGATAATTTGATTTGGTCGTTTGTGTGTTGAAAATACTGCAGGCAAGGTTGCATTCCTCCAAACTTTCCCTGGTTTTGCCGAAGAGCTTCTGAAGCGCAAAAGAAGCGTAATGACTGTGGCTTAAAGAAGGAAGTAAGAACATCAGCATTAACGTGTTAGGGATATGTGTATCTGTTTGTGTATTTTATGACATTCATTTGTCCCTAAGTGGTAGCTATATAGTGCATTGGAAAATGCTGTGTCGATACAGGTAATATATATCTGTTAGAATATGCCAAAATACACTCATTTTCTGACTGACTGGGGCTAAATCCTTTAGTTTTTACTCACATTGAGTAGCGGTAAGTGAGAAATTGCGCCTACTCAATGACTTATTTTGTGCTAATGTTGTCCTACCCCTACGATCTATCATTCTTTCCCAACCTGTTTAGTTGAGTTGTTGTAAAAGAGATTTTGGACACCTTTATTGGAAAGAAGGTGTTGCTGCCTCAATGACAGACTAATATCGCAACTCTTTGTAAGACACAGGCATTGGTTTCCTGTAATGTCACGCAGGGTTTGGGTTTTTTTTTTTTTAATTCATAATGTCCAACCCAATTATGATTATGAAGATATTACTGATACTAACTGGGTAGAATGCCTTAGGCAAGTGAAAAGTGTGACCTTCTCCTTCAAACGTTAGGTATACAAATAAAATGGATACATGTGGCATAACCTGACCCTGTGGCACTTGTATGTATCTGTATAATTACAGCTGAAGAGCCTGTTAATTTGCAAGTTTAGGGATGTTTAGATTAAATCAGAGTGTTGTGCAATGATGGTGTAGGGCGCAGCCGTATGTAGTAGCCGTACGAGGGACTCAGAGGAAGAGGCGCTTCCACCTCCCAGCAGATGAGCCCTGCTCGGGGATGAGAGAGAGGAGCCCAAACCTGGGAACCCGCCTTCCCTCGTAATTCAAGCCAGCTGCAATCAGGTGGGGAATCGGAAATGAATGCTTTTACCCTGAATTAAGGCAATTTTTGATTCCTCTCAGAAGAGTGGTCAGATCAGAGCTGAACTCTTGGCAAGGAGTAAACTGGCTTTTTTTCTCCCCCTCTCTCGCTGACTAATAAGCTCTGGGCACTTTGCCTCATCTTGGCCCCAGTGAAAGGCTGGGAAATGCAAGATCATCCTTATAGAATTTAATATTAAATAGAGATGGTTAATTTAGTGCTATAAATAATTCGGGAAAGACTGAAGTTCAGAGGTCTGTATTTGAAACCGATCTTCGATGAATTACCATCGCTTTCCTTCTCCCATCTTGGCCCTATTCCCCGCGCCCCCAACACTGTTAAAATTAAGATTTGTTTGTATTTGTATTTATTTGCAGCCTGGGAAGAGGACTGTTGATACATTGAGACGGTAGCCAGGTTTCACTGCTGACATATGTTACATTAAAAACAATTCCGAACCGCAAACACATTTGTGGCTGTGCCAAAATTCTCTTTTCACTGTAAAATTCACTTTTCTAATTCCAAACTCCAGCACATCTTCCTTTTTGCCTCATTTTCTGTCTTCCGTAGGGCACCTTAAATATTCCTTAATTGACTAGTTCTCCCGAACTCTCCTTATAGCAGTTTAATAGATTAACTCATCTGCGCCAGCTTCAAATTTCAGATTAAAATTCCTTCATCCCGAAGGCAGCATTATCAGGTTGTTGGAGGCTGTTTTCAAACCTTGGTTTTGAATAGCAGCGGCTCTGCATTAATTTAACCACTAAGCTAATAAGTAGGTTTCGTTTTGTTATGCTAAGCTTTATTGCTTTTCTTTTGATCAGAATGGTGTTGTTGAGCAAAGCAGCAGACAAGGCATTCTTTGATGAGGGAATTAGTGCTCTATTCTTCCTCTATTATTCATAGCACAGTGGAATATGTAAGTACCTGAGGGTGTCAAAGGAGAGCAGGCTCTATTGCAAAGTGTTCGCCTTGTTTCTCTCAATAGCTGACTATGAGATGATAAACCGCTTAATACACTGCACTAATTGGATGAGAGCAAAAAGAGATGGGAATTAAGGCAAGGCAAAAGGAGAAAGTGCTACCAGCCTTCATTCACTCTTTCACCACTTTAACAGCACCAAAGGAGGCACAAGCTTTCTATAAGCAGACTAGAGGTTTTGTGCAGAGATAAAATGAACCTGTTAGTGGATTCAAGTAATACACTAATTATTGCACAGTATAAATACCACTACTGGTTTTATAACACGGAGGTAAACTTCTTTTGAGAAGGTTATAGGATTGCTTGGCAGCAGTATAGATCCTAATAAGGGACCAGAGTAATAACCCCCTGGATTAACAAAATTGCTGCTTGCAGAAGTATGATTCTGGCTTTTACGAAGATTTCAGCAGAATGAATAAAAATGACTGAATGACATTTCTTAATGCGTAATGGCTTGATAATGATTCCCTTTTCTTTAAGGCAAAAATGTATATTTCACACTATACTGTTAATAACGTCCCGGGAACAAGCGTTATTTTTCCCATAAATTTTTTTTCACCTATGGTGTTTTTAGGACTCTGAAATACAGCGCG